AAAGATTCTTACCAGTTCTGCATGTAAAGCTATCTGTTTGGCCAATCCAACAGAGTCACAAATCTAAACACAAAACAGATGGAAATAATTAAAAATGCCTTTAAATTTAAGCCAGTATCCCAAATTAAATACAACAGCACATGAAAGCATTTGCAGGCACTTAAAATGACAGGTTTAACTTTTTCAGTATCTAAAAAATGCCTTAAAACAGTTTGAATGGATCTAGCATCTTGAATCCATATTCACAACTGATACAAGTCACAACCATCACCAATACCTTTTCCCCTTCATTATTTGATTCAAATATATAGCAGATGGAAGTCTGGCGGCTCTCCACTCTCCCTCCCGAGGTTCTAAGCACAAATCCAAACAGGCGCTTATTCTCCTGGTGTGTAGCATACAGCACTACACTGGGCAAGGGAAACTGCCAAAAGGATCAGATAGGGAGAGATTAAAACTGATTCCAAATATTTGCCACACGAGGTTTCAATACACTGCACAACCACTGCACAAGAAGTTACCCAACCAAATGTAATTACAAACCACAAATAGACAGCAAGGACTAAATTATTCCAAAGACAAGCAAATGTCAGAAAACACGCTTCATGTAAAAAAAAAGGACTACATTTGCAGTGTGAGTCAGTCATCTTCCTAAAAGTGCATACACTCCTGTTTTGTTTTAATCATTCATTATAGTTACATTTGTGACTAAGCTTTCAATATTTAGTTCCATGTAAAGGCACTACTTCTCAAAAACCTTTATTGCAATTAGCTTAGTTCTCCTCAATTATATAAGCAAGGAAAAAAAAAAAAAAAACAACCCATACAAATCACATACCCTCATTAGTTTGTTATAAGAAAACTGTTTTGCATTCTTATTCATAAAAGAGGTTGGACTTCAAACAATCTTTTTATCTTTTTAAGACTCATCAAACAATGAACTTAAAAATTCTCAGAGTCCCTGCCACAGCTGCTATAAGCTGGTAGGATGAGTTTTCCTGGAATTAGATATGTGCATTTAGTATATGGGACATACTCTCAGTTGATGTATCTCACTTAAAAAAGGTGACAGCTTTGGAGCATTTTTGAAATTAACATCAAACTTTAAATATCAAGATATTTTTCCATGCTCAAGATTTTCTTTTATGAAAATGAAAGCAATTCAGAGCTTCCAAAAAATTGATTGTTTTTAAAACCACAAAATCTGACAGCCCATAAATTATGCATAAAAAGGGGAAAAGGGAAGAGTTTTGAAATATGATGAATGAAGACTGCTATTACTAAAGAATTAAGCTGGCCTTATTTGATATCCTAACAAGAATTCCACTTACTCCTGTCAAATGCATTTTTTATAAAGAAGTTGAAAAACAAGAAACCATTCAACACCCTCAAGGCAATTATGCATTAAAAACAAAATCCCAAAACAAACAGAGAAACCAAACAGCAAACAAACCCTCTTGGACTTCAGAACTAATGAGACTCCATCATTAATGTTCTCTCTTTAATATTTTACCCTTTCAGATCACAGAGGGAGGGGATTTTCAAAAGCCAATTTGACCCATTGAAATCACTCCCCTAAACCTGATTTGCAAGTGTTTCTAAATGTCTGCAGTGGTCTCCTAATAGCACTGGAAATTTGGCTGGAAATCTCATGCTATCAGTGATTTTTGCTATCATCTAATAATAACATTTTTAAAGTAAAAGAATTACATTGCTGGGTATTTATCTTAAAATGCAAAGTTACTTACTCGTAGTCTTGTAACTTGTGTCTGTGGATCAATTAACCTAAAAATTTGTTTTTAAAGACAAACCAGAAAGTAAATTTTACCAAAGTGAAAGAAGATCATTCTGTAAATAAACATCAATAGAAGTCAGGAAGCAAACTTACTTTAAACAGTCACAAGTGACTAACAAGTGTGACTCTGTCATCCTGAAAACGTTGTGGATGGCGCGAGCTGCGAGTATTTGACGCATTGTTTCATAAACAACATCTGGGCTTTCATCAGACCTCACTTCCATAGAGCCAAGAAATCTTACAATAAATAACTGATGAAGAATTGAATCTAAGAAAAAAAAAAGTATTGAAAAAAACTCCATTTTGGGTTTCCCATTCAAAACCAAAGGTGGATTGCAGTCAGGAAAACTTCAAACTCCTCCTAACTTGGAAAGAGATTGCTCCTATTCAGCAATTAGAGGTGCAGTTACTACACAACTTTGCATTTGGTTAATGAATACAAAATATGATGAAAACGAGATGATGAATACAAGAGATGAAAACAGAACTACAATTGTCAAAACTTATTTTTATTTTGCATTGAAGTGAAATTTTGTTTTACCTTCTGTTTCAGGTTTTGAGCCTCCAGATTCACCAAAAGGGTTTGTGCGTCTATCAAAAATGAAAACATTAAAGCAGGAGTCAGATGACAGGAACCATTCATGGATAGTGCAGTAGTCTCATGCTGTGTCAAATACCAATGTGTAATGAGCTCACAAACTTGTCATCTGGAGGAATAATATATCAGGAACTATGAGGAAAAGCAATTCTATCAGGAGTGAGACATAACTTGCTGTATTTGAGGTTCCATATTATGGGGAAAATACCAGGTATTATTGTCCTATTGCTGCCATAGGAAGTTTTGCTCACTTTTTTTTTTTTTTTTTTTTTTTAATATTTGAATTAAGCTCAAACCAAAACCTTGGTAATGTTTGAAAAGCTATAGTTTTAGGGGAGGAAATGTCACAGAACAGCTTCAGGAACACAGCCAAAAACCAGGCCCTTTCAGTACTCCATAGGAGCACCCACTTCTCATCACTGTCAAGGTGTTGAATTACTTACTCAAGAGAAGCCCCAGGTTTGTTTCAAATGCAGCTTTCTCAAAACATCATGGGGTTTTACTCCTAGAGAGTCAAGAGAAACATGGCTATTTCTGGCTCTCAGAGACAGAATTACTATCAGTTACAGAGAAAAGTGAAAATACTCTAGGCTTCCAACTCTGCATTTTTCAAAAACAGTAAAGGAATAAGCATAGGAAATAGAGACATTTTATTTAATATTTGTAGAGGAAATTACCCATTCTCTTTGGCTGATTGGTAGCTGAAAAGCTACTGGCAAGGGTTCAATATAGTTTAAATTAGTTTTTTTATGGGATTAATCAAAGTATTACCTTGAATAGTTAGTGTTCTAAAAACAAATTTCAGAAGTATGAGAAAAAAAATTGTTCAGTTACTCATACTGACTGCCATATTTTATCAATTATCAGAAATGCTTTAACTAAGAGATATCTAGTTTAAAGTAATAATTTTTTTCTAGATTGAAGCCAAGATGGCATAACTACAATGTTTAGATAACATGGACTCAATCAAGAACCATCCCATTAAAGGCTGACCTGTGTAATTATAGTAAAAGCAAATTCTTTCTACCAGCATCTTCTATTGCTCAGACTTTTCTTGTTGTTTAATATTAATCTGGAACAGTAAGTACAAAATCTCACAAAATCTCTCAAAAGGCAAAAATAAAACTTAAATATATGTCATCAGTATCAGAAACCAAGAAAAGTACTTCTTTTTTAATAACAAACATGTTACCTATCTGTACAAACACTGCAGTTTTGAAGGCAATGGTTAATTGAAAATACTGAGCTCAACTGTATCATTTCTGCTATGAAAAATATTTTCTAAACGAGAATTAGAACTGATGACATCACAGAATATTCTGAGTTGGAAGGGACCCCCCAAGGATCATCGAGTCCAACTCTCCAGTGAAGGGCCCATACAGGGACTGAATCCACAGCCTTGGTGTTAGTGGGATCCTGCTCTGACCAGCTGAGCTACACCAGGCTCCCACAGGAGCTCAGCCAAGTCTTCAGCTTTGCACTTCCTGCTATACAGTTCAAGTCTATTTTAAATCAGTGTATTATGAAGGATCTAGTTGGCCACCTGCTTATCCTGCTATACCAAGCAACAATGAAAAGAAAACTGTGGAAAAAAGGAAAAAATAGTTGCGTGTTTATAATTTCAACTCTTGCATCTGTGAGATGTAATTCAAAATTCAAATATTTTCCTAGAGGCAGGGGGATATAACACATATTTGTGACAAGAATCACATAAATCAGTTTAAATCTCTTTTAGCTGCTTTTGTTGTTAAGAGCAGCTGGATCTGCAAATACATTTGGTTCATATCTGAATTCTATAGATATAGCTCTAGAAATGCAGTGATGATTTACATGTCTTTGGTTTTTAGTCCATCTCCCACTCAAATAAGACAACAAGTAGGAGAAAATGCTTTTATGTTTTGGATGAACTCTAAAGATGATTTGAACTTGTTTGTATGTGAAATTACTCTAGAAGCCTAGACCATTTTCACTCACCTTTCAGCTTAAGAGGAGTGTCATCGTATGCCATCATCACCTGGAGGCAGGGCTACCAAATTTCTCTTGAGTTTCCAAGAGGAAATAACCCAAGCTGCTGGGTGAGCAAGCAATAGGAAAGGAAAATACTTTGTGAAACCAAAAGTTTAAAATAAATCAATAAATAAAAGCATTGGCTGTTAAAGCAAGAAAAGCTGCTGCAAAATAGAAAACTACACCTTGACACTAGTGATGTAATTAAGCCTTTTTTTACAATTCCATTTAACAGTTTAACAAATTGTTTTGCTCCACTGGCCACTAGAAAATTTGTGGCATCAGTCAGGAAAAAGGCAATGTGTGTGCTGGAGCTGCATCTTAAATGTGGTTTTCTTGTTTGTATGTTTTTGAATTAGTAACATTAACTTTAGGGATTTTTTTCCTTCTCTCTACATTTCCTACCTGCCTGATTGCCCTGATGACTTTGCTTGGCCAGGCAGATCTTCACTGACTGGAGATATTATGTCAAATTGGATGGGAGTGTCAGGGGCAACAAGGGAATCCAAGGAAAGTGCTGAGAGAGTTGCTGAGTCAGATCCCAGTGACCCTGAGCTGCTGGTACGAGCTGCAGGAGGACGAGATTGTCTACAACAAAACCAAAAAGGCAAAGTTAGGGTATGTCAGTTCAGGTTGGTTGGTAGTGAATTAAACCATACAATATTCCAGACCTTAGATATAAAACAAAACAAAAATAACCTGCAGATCGAGGTATAGCAAACAAATCTATGTACCTAGTCAAATTTCAGAAAGTTACTACTTCCATTAATAAATGCATCAGATTGATTTAATACCAATATATAATCACATATTAAGTATAATACAATCTGAGGTCTGCTTCCAGGAATTGTACATATGAAGAAAAATCTCATCAAGAAATCACACAACAAAACAGATATGATGAAACCAAGGTGTCCACCAGCTGGAATTAGGATTACTTGTAACAATGGATGCTCAGCAGTGCTCCAGCAGTGAAAGGCGTGTTCAGGAAATTTTCCTCTGGCCTATCCAAGATTTAGTTCTGATCACAAAAACATTTGTAGGTTTGTTAGGCTTTTTTTTTTTTCCCTGGAACTTTATCCAGGATTTTCTTTTTATATGTGCACCTCAAATGGCCTCTGGTTGCTTCACTTACACAGCTGGCCTCATGCTCTCGTGCCTCTGCTGAAAGGAAGGAGAAGGAGTGACAGCCTCCAGAGCCGACTGGTTCACACGGGCAGCAATCTCCTGCAGCAGAGATGGGAAAAAATAACTGAAAACACTTTTCTCAAAATAAAATTTTAGATTTTATTTATATGCGACTGGGAAAAGTTATAAACTCAACCCTTCATGAGAATCTAGCATTCTTAAGTTTTCACTAACACATCTCTAGCATTTTCTTCCAATTTTTCTTCAAACACATAACCTGATGTTAACTTTCTCAATTTAAATGAACACATATCCCTTAAAATACTGCCAGTGCTAATAAAAGGCAATAGAGAAAAGCTCCAATGATAACTCTGGCAAAATAGGCAAATGTAGCCAGGAAAATCAATGGAAGAAGCTTACTGGAGAAATGCAGCCCTCAACTGTGAACTAAAACCCATGAAGACACACTTCATATATAGATACATAAAACAGTTTTTATTGGGCCAATTCCCCTAATTTAGTAAGCAAAAATAATTATGTAAGTTTGTATCAGTATGAACTTACTTTATAAATATAAAATTCATAACTATATATTTTAGTAGTTACCTCAGGATTTTCACTTAGATATATCTGCTTAGATATGTTGTTTATGGTGCAAATCCACTGAAAAAGAGGAAGAAAAAAGAAAAATTAATCTGTTATGTTTTCTAAACAAACTTGATTGAATACATGAGTTGCTAGTTTCAACACTTTTTCTACTTTCTTTGTAAATTCAGGGAGCCAAATATTCTGCACACCCAGCTTGTTATTAAATTTACTGCCACCCGCACACTGCACCGTACATTTCAAGATTTTACTCACAAAAATTATTTTAGTTATACTACAACTAAAGAAAGTTTAACTCACAACTCTAAGAAATTAAAGGAATTAAGGAATTAAATCCTCATCAGGATTCTCTGTTCTTTATTCTGTGCTACGTTGTTTCCTCACAACATTATAAAAATTCAATTTGGCTTTTGTGGAATTTGCTCATTTCTTGCATCTGCAAGCTAGAATCTGCTTTCTCTCTCTGCTCTGGAAAACAATTTGCTCCTGTTCTGGCTTTTCAACTTTTATCTGAAGGAGGAAACTAACATTAACACTAAGATAAACACCATGTTACTAACAAAAATAATTTATTAATAAATAGAAACAGAAAAAATTGCAGTATGCATTTTTTTTTGTTAGGAATGTCTTCTTTCTGTGCAGCAGAAAATCACTGGGCTCCAGGCACACCTCCTATAAGCTTACCTCTTCATAATCTTTTTTACTTTCTGCCTGCAAGATTGAAGACCTGAAAGAAGAGAATAGAAAACACAGTTTTGTGTCTCTAAAATGTCTCACAAATACAGTCAGGCAAGAAATTACATTTTCATATTTACACTTTGAACAAGCTATGAAAGGCTGAAGATTGTGTTTGTGCTGAGTGCAGTCAACATTTAATTAGGATGGGGAGGAACCTATGCTTTCCTTTCAACAGGAAACAGAAAAGCAACACAACTCTAATTGTATCCATATAATACTTAAATATTCACAAAAAGCAATATGTGATTGTCAACTAATTACCATAATCTTATTATGAAATACTACTGAGCTACATTATAGAGTTTGTAAACAAAAATCCAGTTAACACAGTTAAAAGGATATCCCAGATTTTGCTTCTAAATATCCACAGAATATAGCTAGTTAACATCTGGACAAAGGCAGACCATATTTTTTTCCCTAATTATTGAGTCCAGTACTTCTTACAAGAACCAGCAATGTAAGACCACTCACTTTTTGCCATCAAAAGATGTTATCTGAAAACAGTACCGCCTGTCCTCACAGTCCACAGCCATCACTGAGCAATTGTCTATGTCCATGACAAGTCCCCCAGCCACATCTCCTCTTGCCTGGCTCATCAGATTTCCACCTTGAGTGAAGTAAAACTGTCTCTCCCAACTGGAAGACACCAGCCCTGTCTTACTAAAAGATAAAAAGAAGCCCTCAGTTAGCCTCTCTTTGCTCACTCTATAATATTAGTTGCTGCAATTGTGTTCTAATACAGAAATTAATGCTTCATTCAGTAAGTATTTTATTTTAACTGTTGTTGTAAAAGTAATCAACCTTTTTTTTTTTTTTAATTCCTTGGATCTTATTATATAAATTACAGTAAAAAAATGTAAATGTTACAACTTTTTTTTAGTAGCTCTGAAAAACAGCTGTGGGACTTCCTTAGAGGCACAGCTCCCTCCTGTGGACAATGAGCTGCACGGAATCCAGAAGCTCCTTCCAAAGGTATTTTGGTTAACAGAGTGTTTTGCCTTGTTTAGATCAAAATTACAATGTTTTATTAGTAATTTAAATCCCAAAGCTATAACAGACACTTCCAGAACAATCCTGATAGATAGAATCTTGTTACTTCCCAGTTAGGATGCAGAAAATTACACTCTCAAACCTTTTTTTTTTTTTTTTTTTTAAAACTGTGAAAATTCAGTAAAATTTAGACTAAAGTCAGAATAATTATGCTTTGCGTCTGAATGAGATTATGTCAGTGTAACAATGAATTTAATACTAACTAGGTGAAGAAGGCCAGAGAAAGAAACAGAACAGCTCTTATGTGATGTATTCAGCTACATATATAAAACCAGCATAGCTAACATCTAAAAAAACTTTCTGGCTTCTTTAATTAAATTTAATTTAAAATGAAATACTGTGGAATTTTTAAATAACAAGTTACTCTTACTTTCTTGCATTGAGATAGCCAGCTTTCCGTGTTAGGTTCCTATGGGCAGGAAATTTGGTAGGATCAGGATCAGGCAAATACAGTGGATCACTGGCTACTTCCAAGTCCTCTATAGTTTGTTGCATGTTTTCTACTTCACAATCCATTTCCCTGCGAACACTAAGATAAAAAAATGCGTTATTAACAAAGATAATTTATTAAGAAGTAGAAATATAAAAAAATAATTTTCATAAAAGTTCAAAATTCAACAAAGCCAACTTACTTCTGTACACTTGTGCCAATATTGGTCAAAAATTCTTCCAGTTGCTCAGTAAGATTTTCTGAACCCATTTTAAAAAAGCTTATCTTTAAAGAAAAAAGGATGAAAATGGAGAATTTAGTCATTAATAAAACTACACTAACAATTAACAGATTAAGTCATAGGAGGCTCAAGTTTATCAGAAAAATCTGTTTTCATCCCTCATTCCCATCAAAGCCTCTTACTAAAAGCAGCAGAATGTGTGTTTGTGGCTGCAGGTGAAGGCTGCTGCTGGCACTGCAGTGGCATTTGTGTCACAAGGACGTGAACAGAGCTGCCTGGAGGAAATACAGAAGCACACAGGAACGGCCCTGGAAACACTCCCAAGGACTCTCTGTCCCTTTTCAATGCCACCATTCTGCTAACTCTTGTTATGGGAGGGTTATTTGGGGCACATAGGAGAGAACCTGTGAGGATTTGTCCAGGGCCATCCACAGGGAACTAACAATATGTATTTTAAGCACAGGGTACTCCATAATGGACCAGAAAATCTGCCACAGCTAAACTGAGGTTACAACAGGAAGCCCTGGGACATGGCCCCGCCCTTCTGCTTCTTAGAACCAAAGCACCAGGTTGCACTTACTTTACTGCACAAAACATGCAGAACTTGGCTCTTAAATACAAGCTGAAAAGTTTTAAAAGAAAGCAAGAGTTCTTGCCTTTGGAAAGCTTTCAGACAGTGTGCAGAAGTTGATTTCTACTCAGGTCACTGTAGCAGTGCCAGATGCTGGAAAGCTTGACTTGCAAAAAACCCAAAGCTCATGCTTAATAACTTACTTCCAAAAATACAAATTAAGTCTGTCCAAATAACTTTATCATAGTTCTAGTTTCTGTTGCACCCATCCTCAAGTAAACCAATCATGTACTTATTAATATTAAGCAAAACCAAAGCAGAAAGTTTTTTAGCATTCTGGCTCCTCCACAGTCTTGACTGAAAACAGTAGTTTTGTGGCTTTTGATGAGTATCTCATTTCAGGACAGCTGCCATAGCAATGAGTTTAACTGTCTCCATGTTATTTGCTGAGAAGCTTCACTTCTATGTGCACTTGCATGAAAGCTCTAATTAGTTCCTCCATTTCGTGGAATCAAGTGCCCAGCAGTGATAATCTAGGGACTGCATCAAATCCAACCATCTGGGTTTTGGGGAAAAATTAACCATTGTATTTGTCACCCAGACTTTGCTAGAAGACTCTGTGATGGCAGCGAGGGCATGTCATGAAGAGATTCCTGCAGTGAGTGGGCAATGACCAGGGCTAACTAATGGCACCATCAGGGCAGCAGCTGTGGCAGCTCAGAGAAGTGGATGAGTGGGTCTCTTTCTCCATTTCCTTCCTTGGACTGCAGAAGAGGGCTTGCAATGGATTTCAGTACATCAACCTTCATGAAGCACTTTTATTTCTTCTTTCAGACCTACAGCTTTCAGAATCTGAAATTACCTGAGCTTGCATGTATCCTAGCAAGGGTTCTAGCAGAGAAATTTTCTTTTTGTACTGAAGAGTATTTAATGCACAGAAATAATGCATCATAGTCTGATGCTGTTTTTTTCTTGAAGTATATACATCTTCTGTAACTTCAGCCTTGATCTGAAGAGACACAGACAAAGCGAGGAAAAAAAAGGAAAGTTTGAGATTGGCATTGATCACATGCTTCTGGACAGCTTTATAGCCAGCATGGAAAAACCCACAGTCATGTTCTACCCTCTATCACCAGCTGCTGCATCATTTATTATTCTACTTCTCTAATTTAAACATGAGATATGTGAAAAACAAATACAGCATCATTTTCTACCTGGAAAGTGTGGTTATTTCTTCACAAAAACAAACTGACTATGATACCACAATATTATTCCTAAAGCACTGTCAGGACAGGCATGTATTGGAGAAACCTGCTTTTCTGTCTAGACTGCTAAAAGCTATCAATTGTCACAAAGAATTTGCCATACACTGTGTGCCATCATAAATATATACAAGATGAAAATTATTTCTAATCTTCTCTAAAAATCTTTATATTAAGATTTTGTTCTACAAACCTTTTCATTTTCCTTTCTTTTTGACAACCGACTGTATCTGGTAATGGCAGCATCATGATCTAAGCAATCAAGAGAGAATTTACGATCATTTTCACAAATTAATGACTTAATGAAACAGAGCAGAAAACCCTTTATATCACAGTGTTACAGAGACAGCTGAATGCAAAGTTCTGTCATTTTAACACCTTGAGGAATTGTTCTTGTCTGTTTATAATGACTTCACTGAAACAAATACTTGGGCTGAAGAAATGCATCTAACCAGATGCAAATGTTGCCAAATTGTTACAAAGTTCCCTAAACATCCACTATTTTTCAAAGAAGAACTGTCCATTAAGTTGAGAAACTTTACATTATGAAAACCTGTATCTAATCTTTTTTGGTTCTAAAGCAATGAAACAATTTTCATTGAGAGAAGTAGAATCTTATTTAAATAAGTTCTCTACATGGATATATTAGAGGCAGCTAAAAAATAACTTCTGAAAATAGGGAAGAGAACTATGAAATTCATTTTAGGAAGGTAATTTTTCAAAATGATCCAATCCTGACTTTAAGAAGTGAACTAGCACCTTACTCTATTTGTAATTTTGGTACTCTATTTGTAATTTTTGCACCTTACTCTATTTTGTAATATTTGTAATTATTTAATAATCATACACACACTTAAGGTTATGTAAAAAAACCCTTTCAATTTGCCTTAATGCTTCAGTACACAGAGCAGAGATTTACAGAACCAGGGAAAGTTGAGTAACTATCACACAGAAAAATTAAATCTTAATTAGCTACTTTAAGCCTACAGGCTTAACTCCACTAGTTAAGGACAAATAGTAATCTACAATAATACTTGTAATATTGATAAGATTAATACTTTACACTTACCATTGCTTGCAATTTGGAAAACTTCTTTTAGTGTTAATATCTCTAAAAAAAAAAACAACATATCACAATTTAATTAAGTTGTTATTACGTATTACAGTTTCTCATATAATGTTTCACTACTGAGCAGTAGAAGGTAACAGCTTGTACCATACTGAGCTACCAGCATAGGCAGTACATGGCCAGGCAAGTCTGCTCCTACCTGGGGCCTGAGGATCATTTCTGTGCTTACCAAAAAAAAAAAAAAATCTGTATTGTAATACTGTAAGGAGGAATTTCTTTTCAAAAATCTTTGAAAATCACCATCAATACAAATGTAGTTCCAGTCTGGGTTCTGGTTTGAGCTGGGGAAATGCAAGCATGGGAGATGGGCAGTATCAAAGCCCAAAACACACTGGGACTCCCAGCTAAAATCAGCCAAATTCCAGCTGGTTATTGCCTCTCTGTGCCAGGAACTGGAACCAGTACAATACCTTACACCTGTTCTGACCTTGCTGTGGTTTGTGTCATATTACAATACAAACCAGCAGAGAGCCACCATCAACTTTATGGTAAAGCAAGAACAAAAAAACTTTCCAGGAAGTGCCTATGAAGCCCACAAAGAAGTGTAGGGTCATTACACCGGCTGGTGGCGAAATCTTGCAGTGGGAAAATTTAATTAGTGACTATTGCCTCAGGGATGCCTCTTCAGTAACTACTAACAGGAGATTTTTTCAGGTCCTGAGAAGCAATATCAGCCTTTGAATAGTCATGATTCCATGCTCAAAAGAAAAAAAAAAAAAAAAAAAAAAAAAAAAAAAAAAAAAAAAAAAAAAAAAAAAAAAAAANAAAAAAAAAAAAAAAAAAAAAAAAAAAAAAAAAAAAAAAAAAAAAAAAAAAAAAAAAAAAAAAAAAAAAAAAAAAAAAAAAAAAAACCCAAACCATAATCTTTTCAATCCATAATTTTGCTGTGATCTATTACCAAGTAAGTATTTTCCAAGATTGATGAAGAGTTAGAAGGCCTATGAGAGACTTGTAATTTTTATATCAATTTAGACTTCAGATACTCATCTTAGATATACCCACTCTAGAATGTTCACAATAGGGATATTTAAGTTACATGGAGCTTAATTTTTATAATTTCTACCTAGAAGCCCATTTGCCACAGCAGTCTGTTCACTCCAGTATACAGAGTAAAACCTATCATCACCACACATATTAGATGTTACTTTAAACCAGGCACAAGATACAATTATTACAAAAATATGAAGCTGGGAGCACCTTATGTCTGCACATGAGAAGTCACCTGTACTACCAGCAGAGCTGAATAACCACATTACAAAATCTCAGTATAGTAAGTACTACCTACAACTTTGGCCTTTTGAGCTTAGTCCGGCAAGTATACAGATGTCATGATCTGATATACAAACCTTTCCTGAAAATGCAAATTATCTGAAAATTATTTCCTTCCTAATGTTTTTGATTAGCTGCTAACTGTTCATCTTGAATAGAAGATAAGTGCTTTGCTAATATAAGTAATATTTTTGTTACAGCAATAATAATGTTAAGTTCAACTGTAATATTCTAACGAATAGAAATAACTTACTTTGCTTTTTAAAAAAGGGGAGATGCATACAAGTAGTGTGTTCTATTTAGTGAAACAAGAGCTATGAAGATTAAATGCTATGTGTTTATTGTTGCTGCTGTTGAAAAAACAAGTCAAGTCCTCTACCTTTTAGATCCCTTTCTTTAAACTGGGTAATAGGAAACATCATTGCATCTGCAAGCTGAGTTGAAAGTACTGCATGGCAAGAGCTGAGCTGAAAAATACAAAAGAAGAAAATCTTAGGAAAGCAGTGCTGAGACCAAATCACAATAGGTGGATATCAATGTAACTCAAAGACAACATGTACAACTCAAACACATTTTTGCATGTTCCCTTGTTTGCAGCTACTTTTTTTTAGGTTCCAAATATCATCATCAGTTTTTTACAGAAAACTTTAGAGTTTAGTTGTTTCTGAACTTTTCCAAGCTACTCAATCTTGTCCAAAAACAGTCTCATCCATCCTGACTAATCCGTTTATTTCTCCAGTTTCCCTCCAGCTATGTCACAGCCCATCTTCCACAGCTCACCGAAGTAGAACAAAATGTGATCCTCCTCCTAAAATGCTGTTTAAGTGAGGAGAGGGATCACTACAAAAATCCTGATTCAGCTCTTAATGGTGCTCAGTTGTGTGTCCTATGAGTCAGCATCTAAGAGAGACAGCAAGAGGGTCCTCTGTCACTCAGGTACCTGAAATCTGGCAATGCAAATGCCTCATGTACATAGTTGCTAACTGCCACTGTGTAATGGTTTTGGCTCTATCTAAAGTAGTTAAGCTATGTTTTTTTCAGCAATGTATCCTCATTTTGTTGAATTCCTTCTTTATCTTAAGGTTATGTAACTTTAAATAGATGTTGCAATATACAATTAATTGTTACCTTTTGACAAAGGAATGCCATTTCTGTACCTCCTGGCTTAAAAAAGGAGTAATTAAGGCAGTTCAAGTCTGTACATGACAGCATTAGCAAAGCACATACAAGGACTTACCTCATCAATCACTTTTGCAAATTGCTGCAGCGTGGAAGTCATGACTTCATCATCTCCCCCGAGTGGAAAACGCTGAGAAGGCAAAAAGAATTATGTTGTTTGCAGTGTTTTGTGCCATTCACAAAACTGGATTAATCATCTCTATGAACATATCAGGTATTCCATTATTTTTAAATATTACACAGTTAAGATATACTGAAGCAGTTTACCTCGTTAGGTGGAAAAAGGAGGATAGGGAGCAGCAGCCTCTTAAAAGAAGCAAATTTTTGTTTTAAACATTTTTAACCTCAGAAAATGGGACCCAGCAGCAAAGCTACAAACAAAAAAACCCTTCATAGTACAGGGGAAGAAAGTTATGGATTCCATAGTCTGTCCTTTCAGAGATGTAATTATGCTCACAGAGCAAATTATGGTTGTAATTTGGAGATTGCAATGCACTCTCTTCTCTTTGGGACTACTAATATTTAAGCACTTAAGGGTAAACAGGTTTATAAAGTAAAAACAAAACAGAATTACCCTAAGCAATTCTCTAAAAAACTAATCCAAAAGTAAAATATTTCAAAAGTTATTAATATTCTTCATGGTAAGAGGAACTTCATTCTGGTTTAGTTGGAAGAACTAAAATAAAGACAGTAGATTCTTTTGGCAACAATTTAAATCACCAACCACAGCATATCTGGATCAAACCTAAATACATTCTACACTGTGCTCTGGGACCT